AACAGTGCGCCGGAATTCATTCTTCTTTCAGAATTAAACTTTCAATGGATATTGTTTGGGATGTGTTGAAGAATTTCCGAGGTCATCTTCAATGGGGAATCAAAGAAACCTTGTTTGTGAACAGAAAATTCTCTCGAAAACTGAGACATTTTCGATCGAAAGTGTACCCACGTCTACTGGAGCAAGATCACTTCTTCTGTCTGTTAGGTCTTACTTTTTGTTTACTTTCTTTTGAGTTTTTTCTTGCTCATTAATGCGTATCCTTCATTAGATACTATTGAAGCGAAAAACATTGAGAAAAAGATGTTGTGAACACGTGATGTTGTAACTACTCTCTCCTGCTGAGGCGTTCTTTTCTCTGACAAGGGGTGAGGGGTCGCGCTGTCTGGAGTCGAGAAACGCCAAATATGTCTGGTCCTGTGACGCAACCCCGTCTCCCTCAACAATAGGATAGAATCAGCGGCGGGGAACGAGTCCCTGAGGAAGGAAAGAATACGGTCTAACCACACTCCTGTGTCCAGCATTTTCCTTCTCGTCCACCCGCTACCTTTGCACGTATACCACTTATTTCTTGCGAATTCTAGCCCATCAACAAGCCTTTCGCCGTTCCATACATTCCTAGCAGCCCAGTGTTCTCCGAAATATCTTGATAAGCCCACAGCCCGTTCAAGCACATTGCTGAAAGTGGACTACGCCGCATTTCTGATGCCATTCCAACCCTAAAATTAGTCGATGAGAGCATGGAATTCCGATGCGCGAAAAGTATCAAGCCAACAACGTTATCAATAGGACTCGAGCATCCAGCTCACCCCAGCACCTGATAACAATCGAACGCATTAATAACTTAATTTTAGAAATCGAACAGCACATCGGATCGAACAATCAAACAAAAAACAAGTATGGTACGCCATCAATTGGTTAACAACCTAATGTATCCCTAATAAATGACGCAATCATGAGCGAATACGAGTTTGCGACCCCGAAAGTACCACCATTGTTGAAACGGACCTTAACCATGATAACACCCTTATATGTCATATGAAAACAACAAAGCTCTCAATATACAAAACAGTTATATCACCTTGCATCCATAGGCGATCTCTGAAAAACGAAAACGATATCACAAGCAGAAGACTGAGAAATTATCCACGGAGTAACACAAATATACGGGCACCAAACTGTCGTCATCTAATAGGAAAAAAAGGAGAATTGATAGAAATCTAAAACTTTAGAGGTCATTTCCGGTGAAGTCTCCGAACTCCCAGATGTTCTTGCGTTCACGACGCGCCTTCTGCTCAGCCTGCTCGTACTCACTCAGCTAGAAAATTATAATTATTCAGAAGACGCAGTGGTGGGAAAGGTTAGAATAAATCACAGAAACTAATTTCGAGGTAAACAACAGTGACAATGAAAAAAATCACCATTGATTGAAGTCTCTTCTCCTTCCTCTTCTCTACAAGCGCGAAGCCATCTTCGATTAGAGCTTTACCAACATCAAGCTTCTTTCCAGCACACTCTATCATCACCTGAAACGTATATGTAAAGAAAAATGTCCCGGTGGGAAGTAAGAAAAATGAGCAGGTAATGAGTCAAAACATACCTGGCAATATTCAGTTGAGCCCACTTTATATTCAACATTGATTTCGGCAGTGGGGACAGAGAACAACAACTGCTGGAGCGCATCTTCGCATTGTAAACCGTACTCCTACAAAGTCAAAAAAATACTATGAAAATTTCCGTGAAAGATGCGATAAATACCTTATCATTTGGAATCGCCACTAGGGCAAGCCCGTATTCCTTTGCTCCAGGTGGGAAAGAAGCGAAACCAGGTGGAAGCTGAGCCAAAGATGGAGCTGGGACCGTCTCTCGCTAAAAAACCACTGTCTCAACCTCTACACAAATTATTAGAATGTTGCCTGACAGTAACACTTACATTTCCATAATCAACGAATAGAACCTCTGCCTGGCCAGATCGAATGCTTTCGACTTTAGCGCGATACCACAAACCATCAACAGAAAACGGTGCCGCACACAAGTCACCACGCTGAAACAATTCGAATTTACATGGCACTCATATATCTTGAGACGTTGTTTTTGTTGTTAAATATTTCGATAAACCTCAAATCTGCCGAGATCGCAACAAGAAAATGCTTACTTTGGCGTTGAATGAACCAGTCATGGGTGGATGCTGATGGAGGTACTCACGGAAGTCCGCCGTCATCTTCTCCAGTTTTGGTCCATCTTCAACCAATTGCGCAGCGAAGTTCAACGTGCCCTTAAAGATGCCTCGCTTCCGTTAAAACAATTGAAAGCATTCAAATATTTTGTTAGATCACTCATGGAAGAAAATGGCATATTTA